GCAGTTCGACAAGTTCGACACGCCCCGGCTGCTTGCCGTCACGCGCAATGCACTGAACTCGGACGTGCATCAACAACTGACAAAGATGACTGAGCACATGCTGAGCTCTTGCGACATTCCTCCTCCCTGGTCGTTTGAAATTTCAGCGGAGCTGGACCAGTGCGGCATGAGAGCTGGAGTCTCTACTGCACAAGCCCCCCTCCAAGCTGGCAGTAGGTCATTACAACTTTGTTTTTTCAAAGACTTGAGGAGGAAAACTGAAGAAAGTTGATTAAGCTCGTGCAACACACGGACTTTGGAGGAGAGTTGCTGCCCAACAAAGAGACACCGTTCCGGCCTGGGCCGCGACCGGCTCAGACCTTGGGCATTGACTTCGTTCAAGCGAGCCCCAGATCAAAGAGAATATCTCTTCATGCTCAGGCCTTCCCAGCCTAGAGGTACCATCAGGATTTGTAGCAAGTTTTAAGTTGGCTTGGGGTTCAATTTGGTACGGTATGGGCTTCAAAGTCCGCAACTAGCCACTTTCTGAGCCTGCTAGGAGTGTGGTTCAATGCTGACTGTGGTCCTCTGAATCACTACATTGACGTTGGATGGCTAAGGAAACAGGCAGACATGCTGAAGGAGGCGCTGCCAAAGCCACCCTCCCATGGCAAAGGCTCCAAGGGAGCGGGTAGCGGCACCACTCTCCTCTCTTGTTTGCAGAAGGGCATGGAGCGGGAAATCCTGGCTGAGGCAGAAGCTTGACTCAGTATGCGTGTGTCTTGCGATTCTTTGGAAGCTTAGGCTTCATTAGCATTGAGATCTCTTGGCACTTGCTCGGCCAAGGACAGTGTCTATTGCCGGAAGTGCAAGGAATTCCGTCGCCAGAGCAAGAAGCTGGATTTGTGGTCTCTGCCTCCTCTGCTAATTGTCCATCTGAAGCGCTTTGGCCGGGAAAGGCACGTCAGCTGGGACAAACGCCCATATACATCCCTCCAAACCTCCAGTTTAACTTTATTTTCCATTTGCTTGTAAATTTGATCTTGCCTTCCTGGAGGAAGTTTCCCCCTAAACTCTGTACAATTCCCTATGCAATCCCTAAGTTGCCATGCTTGCTGCCGCATCTGAAGGCTGGACGGTCCCTTGGTGAAACTGCGATGTGCCGTGGACTTCGATCCGGAGCTGGAGTTGAAGGTGGCCCTCTGGTATGCGTGTGTGAGCTGCAGCAAGATGTCGTACAACTGCATTGTTGGTAGGACTTCATGTGCTCATCGAGCGCTGCGAGCACCAAATTCCAGCTATACGGAGTTGTCAACCATCATGGCAATGTTGGAGGTGGGCACTACACAGCCCACGCCGCAGCGCAGCTGCACGAAAGAAGCATAGGAGACGTCATCTTTGGTCCGCTGTAGCGTCCTCATGCTTTTGGCATACGTGTGGCGTGATGAGCGGCTGAGGTCGTAACGTCACCTGCTCCAGATCCGCTCGACCCTGGAGAGTGGTACAACTTCAATGACTCTCTCGTCGACAAGGCTTTACTCTACCCGAAAGTTGGCTACAATGGCTCTTTAGCAGTCAACCCTGCTCCCCGAAGCCACCGACCTCGCACTCCCCCCTGCCGACATTGGTGTTTGAAGTGAACCAAATGACACATTGAACGTTGAAACCATTACTCTGAAGACCTGAGAGGCATCCGTAGGCGACCTGGACAAGGAGGCGGGCAAAAAAAACTGACTGCCCTGTAGCTCAGGGAGTGAGCAGCTGTTGGATGACTTCTGGCAAGAAGCTTGTCTCGAGAAGCTTTTGATCTCCTTGGATGCCTGATCCCGCAAAGTCCTGGGAGGCTGCATATGTACTCTTCTACCGACGTCTGGATGCATGAGGTGCAACAAAATTGTTGGCTTGCCAGCCAAACGGTTGGACTAAATGGGATTGGAGTCGGTGCAGGGTAAGTATTGTACACATTTCCTGAGATGACTTTGGCTTCCTCTACCAGTTCCTGCTGTGCTTTGAAAGCTGGATGGTTGTCATTTCGTCTGTGTTCGTTAGCCCTTCCACAGGGCAATTCCCTAGCTAGCCCTAAGGCTCATGGCTTCTGTTGTTCAGTTGATGACTCGTAAATCATGGATCGGTGCACACTGCCTCAGGCGCACCATTCCAGGACAAGATATTCTGAAGTGGTGCTGCGGCTCTGCATGCATGGATTGGCCTTTGATTTCGACCTCTTTGACTGGCAAGGTAAGGTAAAGTATCTGGCAACTGCTCAAAGGCAGCATGGCCGAACTTTCCTTAACACCTGCCGCCCACAATCAACACAAGATGGTTCATTTGAAGGTGTGAGAGGTCGCGGTCTCCTCAGCGGCCTCATGGCAAAGCTGCAGTCTCGTGTGAGGAGGATGCTCCACTTCTAGTCTCTGTGCAGATGTGGCTTCCACTTGCACGCGTGCAACTTGCCATCTACAGCTTTATGCCGAAAGCACTTTGGCCATTAGCTGTATTGGGAAAGGATGTCCACTGATCAGCATCGGCTCAGTTGGGCAGGTGATGGCAGGTGCATGATGACCATTGCAGTTGAGGTCAACATCGTCACGTGGAGCGCAACCATGTCGGCATGCGCCCGCGGGTCTGGCCTTCACCTTGGTGGCTTATTGATGGCACGTGACGATGCGTGTGATTGCGGAAACCGGTGTCTTGGGAAGGTGGCAAGAGCTGGCCATATGCGTTCAGCACTGAGAAAGCGCAGGGCGATGCAAAATGCTTCATGAAACCAGAAGTGGCATCTATGTACGACAGTGGCTTGCTGAGGTTGAGCACAGCTTTCCAACTTGGGGCAGCAGGGCTTGCGTGGGAACCTCATCTGTATGTGCAGCAAGACCAAGTCTTTTTTGGACTTTGCGAAAATTCGCCCTAAGCTGCCTGAGGCCAACTTTTGTGACCTATGGTGCGTTGCTCACAGCCTTCCAGAAAGCTGCTCTCTGGGTAAAGCCCCCAGCAGCTGCCCGGTGAGTGCTGATCTTTTTGATGAATGTCGCATTAGGAGCAAGCTCTGCTGACCTTTGGGACACTTCTGGAGACCAGACTGGGTGCGGATGTCCTCTCCTCAATGGCTTCAGCTATTCCGGAATGTTAGTGCCCGACAAAATAAGAACCGATCTAAACGCCCCAGGCCTCCGGTCTCGAAGGATTTCCGTGCTCTAAGTTCTTGCAGGAAGTAGGCGATCTCAAGTTAGTTAGAAGACGCAGCTGGAACTTGAAAGCGCGATAGCGGATTTTGCATGTTGAGGCTCAGCGATTTCCTCTGGCTCCGTGCATATGAGCTGAATAGATAGCCACTATCTGGAGTGAAACAAGTGCAAAACTATAAGTATGTCAAGCGCCATGTCAAGAATAAGCCGCGATGCCGGATGTCTGAGCAGGCCAACGTTGAAGACTTACCCTGGACTTGTGTTGATGCCGAGCCGGTCTGATGTTCGGACCATCCAGAAGCCCAAAAGATCAAACTCGGTGAAATTCGGAGAGCCCGGTGATGCCCGGTGCCGTTGGTGAGGTGGTAGATTTGAATCTGAAGAGGCATTCCTATAACAACAACGCCTTTGCATCATCCACCTGAAGCATTTCGTGTGTCAGCGCGAACGGTTGGGCCTGAACTCGGCGGAGTTGCTGAGCTTGGGGCTGACGTTTGAGGCTGGCATTAACGCACTTCCTCCGACAGTTGCAGCCTTGAATAAAAGATATTCCCAAGCAATCTTTGACCCCAGAGGAGACGGAAGTTGAGTTCACAAGTGTTCTGAATAAAAAAGAAAGAGCAGGAAAGAACATAAGCTATGTATGTGCGATAACATCCGGGACCTCGGCGGTGCGGACCAGACCTGCATGGACTATCCTGCTTGGGGCAATGCTCCGGTCCTCTCCACGTGTAGGGGACAGTGAGGGGACAGGACAGTGAGAAGAAGAAGAAGAAGAAGCAGGAGCAACCAAGAAAGAAGACCGGCTTGGAACAAGTGGAAGACAAAAGAGAAAACAGAAACGGCCTTCCAATTCGGAGCGAGTCAGATGTTGACTGAAGCACTGATGCAGGTGTAGGAGCAGCAACTGCGGGCTCATATGAAATCTTCAATGCGTGGTGCATTGAACGAATTCCTTGCAGCACCCCTTTGGAAAACGACTCGAAGCCAACCTTCTTAAACATCAGGTTTCGAGGTCTGAGCCTTGCCTGAGCTTTGCGGGAATGTGCTTTTGTCGGCACTGCGAAACTTGGTGCCAAGATGAAAACTGCTGGGGCCGCTTTGGCCGCTTGCGCTGGCTCGCGGCAATGGGGTGAGGCTGGCTCAAAGATCGCACTTCTGAATGGATCTGAATGGTCGATTACGAGGTTCAAGGTAGTGGATTCGCTGTGCAAGTTGCGATTACGAGATGATTTGTTGGCCAAAGATGCAGCATGCTGACTCCTCTGTGATTTGCGTCATGCCTTGAAACATATCACTCGAGTCACACCGAAACCTCCCCAAAGACTAGGAAATGCTGCAGGCCTCAGACATACTTGGCCAGCTTCAGCTGCTGCAGCTGCAGCCTGTCTAAGCCTGAGTCGGAACTTCCAGCAACTTTTGCCGAACTGCTTTGAGTGTGTGTCATGCGCGGGTGAGCCCAGGATGCTTGGATGCAGGAATGGACTATCCGCGGCCCGAGGCCAGATAGGCGCAGTAGCTTGCTCAGCTTCGTTTTACTTCTGTTCCAAGAGAGCTGAGCTCCAGGGCTCGCATGCACAAAGGCAGCCCCACCCAAGCAATACTGCAGAACCTCAGTGAGCTGGGCGTTGCTTTGCTTTTGCCTGAGCTATGTGGACGTGCACCATGTGGCACTTCTGGCATTTGGCATGCCTCTCCAGCCTCAGGTCTGCGTCCATAAAGCCCAGGGCGAGACGGTCGGAATTGGCTGACGACATGCATGGCAGAAAGCAGTCAAAAGAGCGTTGGCATGGAACTTCGAAATACTTCGCCGCTTTGCTGACATGACGCGGGCAGGAAGAACAGCAGCTTGCAGAATCGCAGGCCTCCGTTGTCTTATGGGATTCTTTCGAGCTAAAAAAGCACACCGTGCAGAATTACCAACAAAGCAAACACACAATTTCAAGGACACCCAGTACGTGGCCATGCGGGAACAGATTGACAACAAGGCAGTTGAGAAGCGAACTCAGCGGCACCTTGGTCGCAAGCAATTCCATTCTATTCCATTTATTTGTCAGGGTTGAAGTCAGATAATCGTGTGCAATTGAAGGTTCAAATCTGTTCGAGCGCACGGGCCATCTTGAAACTGTTAGGCTCCACTTCTTGGACGCCGACAAGCCAAACAAGCACGTGGTATTCGTAGATGAGGACGTGGACGTGGTTGCAAGCTCTTGACTAGAGATGACATGATGGGTGCTAGCAATAGCAGAGGCGGTGTGTAGAGACGCATGAGACTCTTAAGGCGGAGCAGCCGGTTCTTGGCCTTCTGCATTAGATCTAAGGGGTGCGTATACGCATGCGGGGCTCAGACATTTCGAAGCATGGCTGCTGCCCACAGCCACGAGTGGAGGATGAGCTCAGAGATGGTGGCTGCTTGGCAGTTTGCTTTTGCTCTTTTCCCTTTAGAGCACTTGGCAATTCAGGCAATTCAGGCAGCTCGAGCTCCCAGCACTCTAAGCGCTCCCTCAAGGAGTCTCATCATTCTCATCAACTTTCCGAAGCTGCAGTGGTTTTGTTGATGTCCTGGCAGGGTTTCAATGTGGCGGAGTACTTCGACACCCATCCTGCGTTACTGACGAGAAAGGCGTGCTGATGCAAGTGTCTGCTCCAGTTCTGAGCTGGGGAGAGTCATGGCTGTTGCATGTGCTGCCCATGTCTTTGCAAGATAACGTTTTTCGGGATGCATTCGGGATAGTGACCGACTAAGCTCGGCTCTTTTTGTTGTACGTTGTGGCAAAGACTCTCACAGGCCAATCGCCTGCGCCTCAAGCAGTTGGAGACCAAGACCCTCCAGCAGCCAGAGCCCATGGCAGCCGAGCCCTTATTCTGCATCGTAATTCCCACCCATGATCTAGTCTACCTTGAACTCCAAGTGCAAGATTGCTCGCCCAAGCTGCAGAGGGTTAACTTGATCGTCTCTTGTCCTGCACGCTGGCCTGCAAGCAAGCCAAACAACAAACGACGGAGGGGTTGCGATCTCCGAAAGTAAGATCATCGCTCAGATAAAAGTATTAAGCTCGCGATGGAATAGCTCTACTGTGCATGAGTAAACCATTGCTCCTCGCACCGCTTTCCGGCTCAATTCAGTCTCGAGGTGACAAGGTGTCCATGCACTCAAAGTATTTCTCGCAGTTCTTATTTTGGGGCGGAGCCTCACTCGATGGCAAAAGTCTGAGGTACTAGTTCTGACTTGCAAGGCCTGTCAAGTCATGCTGAAGGTTGGCTTTAGGTAGAAACATGGCCACTGCAGATGCATGACAAGCATGTGAAATATTTTGTGGCCCATGTATTCGTTCGGCCGAGACGCAGGCTCAGCGGGCACAATGCCAATACTGTCCTGCTTGAGCTACCTGACGTCCGCTCTGAGTCCACACAAATCATTTATGCCAGATGCCGTCTTCATCTTGGCAGAAGCCACGTCTGTCTCGCGCGGCTTGATTTGCCGTGCCATTTGCTCTGCACTTTGTCATGAGGCGTCCCGTTTTGGCACTTCACGCAAGACACTTGTGTCGGACAAGCCAAGCAAGTGTTTGTGTCTAGACGGCTAAGACACGTCTGTGCTTGTGCTGGAGCCGTATATCCTTATGCTGCGCTCTTGTCCGCTCGGCTCAAAGTGAAGCAGTGTGAATGCTGTGCTTTGTAACCTTTATGTGCAGCACTCAGCACACGTGCATTCTAGTGCCTCCGGCATTTCAGAGGGGAGCTGGGGCATGTTCTGAACTCCAAGGTGCAGATGATCTTGCATGTTGTGTCCGACTGACGAGCAAAGCCTCGTGCAAGACTCAGAACAGGGACCAGCATCGCACCTCCCGAAGCCTACAGCGCTATCACATTGTCAGACAAAGCGCTATTGCTGAGCCCTTGCTACCACCAGATGATACAATACTTTATATGTGACAGAGCAATCAATGCGTGAGGCGCAGGCAGAGACCAGAATTCACGTCAATGGACTGCAGGTGCGGATTCGTACGTGCACGCTAAGCAAGAGTGATTCAACAGTGTTGTGATGTGCGCTATGGCAGCCAGACATGTTGGAGTTCCTCTTCTTTCGCGATGCTGCTGCAGATGCCCACCACCATGGTGACACCCCTCCTACTGCTCCTGATGCTACTGCTACTTGCACCTCCGCTGCCACCGCCGCCCTGCCGCTACCGCCACCGCCACCGCTTCCAACACCACTACCAGCATGATGACCTTGTCGTCATCATCCTCGCCGCAGAAGCGATCGCGATTGAGGCGACAACTAGGCTTGTGGATGACGGGAACGACAACCAAGACGGCGATAGCAGGATCAGCGCCATGGGCGGTACTGGAACTGCTGCCGCGCCTGCAGCCACAACCAACATGACCATCACACTCATAGCAACACACCAGACTCCCACGACAACCAACCTTTTGCCAATGCCTGCATCGCCTTTTGGATGCTGCTTGCTGAGTGGAAGCCAAAGAGTTGTGAAACACATGGGGCAGAGACCGTCAAAGCTGCGAAATCAAGCGCAGCCAACAATCGTCTCATCTTGAATGACGCCGGCTGGGCTAAGATTGCATAACTTGTTGCCAACACAATTGGTTCTTTACATCACATTGACATGCTGATGCAGGTTTTGACATGTATCAGCTACAGCGACACATGGGAGACCGTCCTCCAGACGTTCATGCAGGGGCACAGTGCCGAGGACCGCTTCAACCTGCTGTGCTCTTTCCAGACCTGTCGGTTGGGACTCATTCTTTGGTGAGGACGTCGAGATCTACGATCGCTTCGATCGGGCCATCCCGATACTGCAAACCTCCTATGCCCCGGATGTTGGCCATTTCCCTTTGAAGGTTTGTGCCAAGGCTCGACGTCAAATATTCAAATGAGAAGGTCTTTCGCGTCACCCGTCTCTGAAGCTTCTCTGACTGCTGCCAAACGCTTGCAAGGACGGATCTAGTAAAGCAGGGTCCGCAGAAACGCCGGGATCTTGGACTTAAGAATCTCTACTGGGCAGAGAAGCAATCGGCTACAGCTGGCATTTTCTCAAGCTTGCTCAGGGTTCCGAAGGTCCGTACCAGCCCATCCGGGAGGCAGCCTGCTACAGAAGCGCACAGACAACAGCATCATGTTAGTGCAGAGGTCAAGCTACTATGCATGAACAGGCATGAACAGGTGTATTTATTTTGCCAAGAGATTTGAGCGGAGATCAAAACGTTCCTTACTTAGATAGGCCTTGGGATTCCGGAAACGAGGTTGGGCGTAATTAAAGTTTCTCTTTATTGTAAGCAATTTTGGGACAAGCGTTCTTGCCGCAAGCGTCAGAAGCTGTTTTTGCGCGCCGCTGCTGCTGCTGCTGCTGGTGTTGTTGTTGTTGTTGTTGTTGCTGTGGCTGCTGCTTGGGATTTGTAAGGTTAGCTCGCGTAAGCGACGAAAGCAAACAACAACGAACTTGCCGTGCCGTAGCAAAAGCTTGGAAAACGTAAGCAATCGCAAGCGTTTTCTGATTCCTCGATTCCAGAAAAGGATTCATATCTCGTTTGCCAAGCTGTTCATGCGGTGGCGAGGGCAAGCCGTCCTTGCGAAAGTTAGAATAACGTGCTTTCAGAGCAGCCTGTTGCTTTTGGACAGGACTGCTGATGTTGAGGACCCTCCATCGGCCCATCATAGCACCAGCGCACCCAGCTGAGCGATTGAACCATCGTTGCATAGGATTCCGCATGATGTTGGCAGCCAAGGCGCTCGCAGTTATGGCTGAGCCATCGTGGCGCGTTCGATTCGCTCCGTCTGTTGAGGAGCATCGCTTGAAGCTCGGGATCAGAAGTCCACGTCAGCTTCCCTAAATCAACGCAGCTAAAGCTGGATCAACAATGCGGGCGTGTTCCCAGGTAACACCGAAAAGCCGGCAAGGCCACAGTGCTATCGGACGTTGCTCCGGCCTCTGGCTTGCAACTTGTCGCTGCATGGCAGGATTCAAATCCCATTTACCTGGGCCGTCACAGCTGTAATCAGCTGCTCCGCCACATCCCCGTCGTCCACCAGGGATTGTCTGAAAGAGCTTGCATGCCGACTGAGGTTTTCCTGTCTTGTGCAGCAATGTTTCTGCCGTACCTTTCCCAGGGGGAGTGTGTGCATCAGAGCGTTCCACACGAGAGTGGTCGAAAGAATGGCAAAGAAGTTCTCTGAGACCATGATAGGAACTTCCTGAGCATGCATGGAAGGTTGGAGCACTTTACGCAGCCAGCGCCCAAGCAGAAAGACAGGCAGGCAAGGCAAACCCGCACGAAAAAAAAAAAAAAAAAAAAAAAAAAAAAAAAAAAAAAAAAAAAA